AGGGCCGTCTCTGGAGTGACCATGTTATAATGAGCTAGCTGATGAGTCGCAAGCTTATTAATGGCAGACTTTATTGTCTGCGGTGTCCCTGGGAATGGGCGGAGGTGGTGCTGGGGGGTTACGGGTCGTACCTCACACACACTGTGAGAAGCTGCGTGACTCGGGTGAGCTCTCACACACTTCCTGGCAGCGTATCGGTTCCGTAGTGACAAAATGAAGGTTTTATCGATCCACGTCTGTTACTGCACAGCTCTGAGGGGGAGCTGCGGCTGACTGCTTGCTTATGCAATATTTTAAATAGCAGCACATGCACGAGGAGGCAGAGAGTGCTGAGCAGCTGTTTTGTTTGGCGTCTTGGCTGTGTTGCTGTGCAGCGGACTGGAACCTGCTGTTACTGGCGTTTATCAGCTCCTGCTGATTTTTTGTGACTATGCAACATCATGCCATTCACTTGGATAAGGGGGTCTGGGCATCATGATTTTAGCACAAGCATCAAAGGTAATTGATAGCTGGCGCGTCAAAGTCCAGCAAAGCTTGCTGCAGTTGAAGTGTTTTGCTTCACACGCCTGAGTAGGTAGGATTTTGATTACTTGAGTATAGTTTGCATGTATTGCAGTGCTTGCTAACTGCAACCCAAACATTGCAACAATGGTGTAAGTTGGAAACAACAGAGAGGCTTTTCCCCCTTTTGCTTCTTGTTTCCGTAGAACAGAGCAGCTCCTAATCGTTCACTTTCTGACACGATTGCTCTGAAAGTCGTACCTGCCACAGGCAAAACTTCACAGTGCGCCGCCGACGGCTGATGTTAAGTTTCCCACCCCAGGCGGTACAGTCCAGCGAGCGATCTGCTTCTGTAGAATATTTTTGTAAATGCTGTGACGCTAAGTTGTTCATGGGGCTCCACCCATCAAAGGTGTAAGCTGGAAGAAATGACTCATTTCTGAAGGTTGAGACTTCCTCTTCATCAAACACCAAATATTTCACACTAATATACGACCACTTGGGATTTCGTGCCGTGTCAGACTGTCTGTAATCGACGTGACGCAAAGCTGCATAACTGTCTATTATGGATTATGGAGAATAATGAAATGTGCTGTAATGCTATCTGCTGGGATATCCAGTTGCTAATTCTGTAAAGTCTTTGATGCAAAGCCAATTAGCACAGAGTACATAACTAAATCTCAGTAACACTCTTACTGTACCCGGGGGGAGCGTTGACCAAGCGCAGGGTGGAGTGATCCACGTGGTTATTTTACACAGCTTTGGGCTGCAGTCATTAGCTGTGGATGGTTAAATGAGGGATCTTTAAATGGATCCGTGTTCAGGCCCGTGTGTGTCATCATGCAGTGCAATATCTTCTTATTTTATCCAGCTGACTATAATAATCCTGCCTAACCTACATACACCTTCTCTCTCTGTCGCCCCCTACAGAGCGTGGACACAGTGTGCACTCTCTACCACTCCTTCCAGGAAGGGTCGGGCTCGGGCGGCGGGGGTGTGATGGATGACGGCGGGGAACCCTCGGTGAGGCAGGGAGGGGATTTGGGCTCGAGCCCTACGGGAGACGCTGCCCTGCTCAGACCTTGCCCCAAGCATATGACGGCCACAGAGAGGTTACGCAAGGTCATCCAGGAGCTGGTGGACACGGAGAAGTCCTACGTGAAGGTGAGACCAGCAAAGACATGTTAGAATTTCTAATATTAAACTTCACATCGTGATTTAGAAAGCTTGGGTTTTTTATGTAAGGTTACTATTCGGGAGCATAAAACAAACATTCAGTCATTTTATAACCTTTTTCCCCCCCCCCACACGCCTCCTCTTCAGCGAGAGGATTGTCTTCAAAGTGTGGCCTGATTTAGGCATCTTCACCCGTATCCATGCACCACCGGCCGGTGTAACTAGGGGAGGAGGTGAAAGCCCATATATCAACTTAATGAGTCCCTGCAAGGCGTGGGGGGAACTAGGGGCTGTGGCTATAAAGAAAGGAACAGGAGGTTCAAAGGTTAAGTGCACTGACCACTTGTGTTTCAGGACCTGACCTGTTTGTTCGAGATCTACTTGAAACCTCTACAGGACGAAACCTTCCTCACACTGGATGAGGTAGGTGGAGAATTATTTATCCTATTTATCCTCCTCTTCTCCTATCACATCACCCCGATCGGGTGGGGGTGATGATATCTCCCCTGACCTGGCGTCCTGACTCCTCCTTGCCGTAGCATTTATATTCTACCTACTCTACCGTAGGCTTGGTTAGCATGGGGGGTCTAGCCTTTGGACCCTTACTGGATACAGACACCCCAGGTGGGAATCGAACTTGCGATCCTCCGCTCCCAAGGTGTGTAGTCTAACCACTACGCTATCCAGCTGCTATCTGACTGATATATAATATATATATATATATGATATATGTTGGCAAGGGGAAATGAAACTGTCTGTGAAGGTTCTCCGTCATCCAGGTCATTGTAGTCAAAGGAGCTTGCAAAGAAAAGCGTCTGGACTTCTTTAAGTTGCTTGAAGATGTTTAAGCAACTTGAACGAATGAAACTATTAACTGTTTTTCAAACTAACTACTAAAATGAAACTGTTTGAATGTGAAAGACAAAAAATAATAATGATGATGGATTGGATTTATATAGCGCTTTATTCATTCACTCTCACATTCACACACTGGTGGAGGCAGCTACAGCCCAGGGATCGAACCGGCGACCTTCCGGTTACAGATGCGATTCCCAAACCCCTGAGCCACGGTCGAAACAGTGTAGCCTTCTGGATTTTAGACTTATTTATTATACAGACTATACAGTACATCAAATCAAAACTCACATGTTTTATGTAACTAAAGTGTTTAATTATGTGACTATATTTATATGAAAAACATGTATACTTACTGCATTTGAATCATTGTAACCACCTGCATGTGCTTTGATTTTGCCACCCTAAGAAAACGTACGTATGCTAACTCTGTGGGACGCCTAATATGTGGAGCTTTTATTATCCATCGATGAACTCTGCCGGGCCAAATCTCCCTCATTACTGCTCCAACTGCCTGGAGGACAAATTAACATTCTCGTCCGCCGACCTTCCGGCGTCTCAGAGGGCCACACCAATAAAGGGCGGCTTAAGAGCCAACCCACCTCAGCTTAATATGCCACGGCACGGCTGTCCACTGCACGTACTCTTCATTAAGGAAGGGCTGTTTTTCTCCGTTTAACAACTCGACAGCATATATCGTTGCTGTAGTAACTTTCCAGCTCTGTGACCTCAAACGTAGCACATCTCTCCCAAGTATTACCAAGACACACCAGGCCATTAGGCCATTATTGGACACCGGACACAGAACAGACAAGGGCACGCAAGCTTTTAATGAAAGGAAGTGGCGACCCTGGCTGGATGTGTCAGATAGTGCTTGTTACACAGCTGAAGTTTACTGTGTCCATTTATATGTGCTTTATTTGTGCGCGGCTGGAGCTTGTCCCTGAGTGCCTCTGTCAGAGATGGAGCCATCACAGTGGAGCTCTTATAACGCTCTGGGGTGCCGACAGTCTGCTATGAATTACAAGCTATCCTGTCTGTTTTTGCTCGTTGCCACACACTCTCTCACCCTCTGATCTTCTTTCATGCTTCCTTCTCCTCCTCTAACTATTGTTCTACTTCCCTTTTGCCCCCTCAAAGATGGAGAGTCTGTTTGGCAGCCTGCCTGAGATGCTGGACTTCCAGAGGGTCTTCCTGCAGACCTTGGAGGAGAGAATTGCCTCGTCACCTGACTTTAGCACGCTGGAGACGCCCTCGCAGTTCAAGGTAAGTGTTGGGAGGGTTACTTTTAAAATGTATTCCACTACAGATTACAGATTACATGCTCCAAAATGTATTTGTAACATAGTCTGAATACTTTCCATTACTTAATTTCCCATCATGTGGGGTGTAGTAGAGGTGACGTGGGCTGCGAGATTGAGACGCAGACATTCGAGCTTCTTAATGCGCGTTTTGTTTGGGTTTTCCACCAAATACCAAAAACAGGGAGGGCATAGGCTAACATGAAACAGGACAAGACCACACTGTAATCCATTTATTGCAACAAAGTAACTGTATTCAGAACCTTTTTAAACGGTAACTGTAACAGAATACAGCTTGTTACTCTTGTAAACTTGTTACAGTTACTCATATTTTGTATATAAAAGCATAACGCTGGTACGTGTATTCCGTTACTCCCCAACACTGAAGGTAGAGAAACGTCACGCTGTTTGTTAAATATCGAATCCACGCGCTCACAGGCTACAGAGAAAAGAGGGATCTTTCAGGTGTTGGGTTTTAAATAATTGAGGTGGTGCAACAGAAGCGTCATCGGCTGATTTATGGCCTCGGTGTGAGGAGGTGTGAGGTCTATCGATCGCGGCGGCGGTTCACTGGTCGGATTGTGAGCTGCTGAAAGCCAGTGGACTGAAAAGGCTGAGTGAGAGGAAGAGGTCAGAGGGGGCATTTTGAAGGGAGGGCACGGCGATCCAGTCGTGACTTCACATGTTCACACCCTCTAATCCTCTCTCGTGCTTTGTGTTCACACTGGTGTTTTTCCCCCCATCTCTTCACAGAAGCTGCTGTTTTCCCTCGGGGGTTCGTTCCTCTACTACGCCGATCACTTCAAGCTCTACAGCGGCTTCTGTGCCAACCACATCAAGGTCCAAAAGGTCCTAGAGAGAGGTACAACACACATCTTAATATTCTGCAAAAACAAGCTAATCCACCTCCGCTAAATTTAGCTTCCGTGCTCCCGTGTTGCGTCAGAGGAAGCTCGGGCGCTCACGGCTGAAGGTTCGGTCTTCTCTTTTGGGAAGCAAATCAATTATGTATGACAGTAAATGTCCCAGAGTGAGACGGTGGATGAAAGCGAGGTGAGCGATGCCGCTCCATCTCCAGCACCATGCACGAAGGAGCACACGGCTCTCCACCTTTCAGTTTGTGAGCTACACTTTCAAAGCGTTATCGCCCTTTTCTCCTCAAACAGATGATGCTTAAACAAATACATGCACATATAAATACTCTGGCTTTGGGTAACCTCGTCCTCTAACAGCGGATGTGTGACCGTGACAATAACTCTTGCTTCTCCCACAGCATGTGACGCTGGAGAAATTTTTAAGTTGATTTATGCCTCCTCAGATGTTGGCCTTTCCGCCACTATTTGGGACGAATGCCCAGTAGAGAGAGAGGAGTGTAAGCAGGTTGGGTTCTTAGCTGATGGGGGGGCTGTGTGGGATATTCCTCGAAGGAAGCAGCAGGGCTGATCTTTAATAGGATTAGATGGGACAAAATCACAAAAAAGTACCTTGAGGATGGTTAACCAGCAACACTTGAAAGCGTTTTAGGAAGTCGAAATGATTTGATCTTGTAAATTATGTTAATGCTATGCTTAAAAACAGGCTATAAAAAGATGTTTTGCTGCAGAGGTAAAGCCTTCTGTTATTTTCTGAAGATGCAGATTATTTTTTAACCAATTGTTCAGATATGTAGATGAGTTAGGTAAAAGTTTTCCACTTTTCCCCCCATAAGCGTCTGTGATTTTGGCGTAGTGATTATTCCTGAGTGCTTCAGCGTGCGGGCGGTGCCAGCTTGGCACAAAATGTTTCCAAGTGTTTGAGTAAGGGAAATAGACGCCAGATATTCACCGGGTTTGTGCACCCGCTCTTTTAGCCAAAGCTTTAAATGACGGGTGCTGCTCGCAAGTGACGACTGCAAACTGATATTTGAGCAGGAAGCATAATATTTGCTTAGCACGGATAAAACAGCCGAGTAGAACATAAGCGCGAGTTTCTAGTTGGCTCAGCAAAACCGAGAACACCCAGCGCACTCTGGTCACGAGCAGCTGATCCACAACACATCGCAGGAATCTGCGGCTGCTGTGAGTCCTTTAAGTAATTATATACTCATCTCTGTCATCTTCATCCCCCCTCCTCCTCTGCCACGCCACGGGGCCCGGGTTGCCTTAGTTTCTGTTTATTTGTCGACTCGTTAATTGCCTGCCAATTACTCTGCGAGGCGTCGACGTGGCTGCACGTCTGTGGCTGGCAGTGCTATAATTAATACTTTAATGGCCCCCCTCGGTAACGCTGTGGAAGCAGAGCGCTCGGGGAAAATGTCAGCACCTTTACCGAAGGCCTGCTCTGTCTTACACCTGCCGTTTCACGCTACGCACGGTCGGCCCAAACTTGGTGTTTTACCAGATTTAACGTTACAGCATCAAAGATTTACACTTTGATACCACAGTGGTCGTAGCAGGTGGAGGAGAAGCCCACACCCCCCCCCTGCTGGAGACACATTATTGCACCGCGATTCTGCACTGACCCACTTAAGCTTAATAACGTAGCCGCGGTCTGAAACATAGACCAGAAGCAAAGAGAACAGACGGCTTAAAAAGATCCAGATTAAGTCTGAGTGTTTCTTTCCTTTAGCCAAGACGGATCAGACCTTCAAAGAGTTCCTCGACGCCAGGAACCCCACCAAGCAGCACTCCTCCACCCTGGAGTCCTACCTGATTAAACCAGTGCAGAGGGTGCTCAAGTACCCCTTGCTGCTGAGGGAGCTGGTCTCCCTTACCGACGGCGACAGCGAGGAACACTACCACCTCACCGGTAGGAAGGCTGCGCGCAATCAAGCGCTGTGCTATAAACAGGCCGTGCTGACACTCGCCGTTTCGGTGTCACGTTAGTCGCACGTGGAAACATTAAGTGATAACCTTAATGAACACAGGGTCACGACTCGGTCCTGTTAACACTCTTGTGTCTGCAGAGGCCCTGAAAGCCATGGAGAAGGTGGCCAGCCACATCAACGAGATGCAGAAGATCTACGAGGATTACGGCTCCGTGTTCGATCAGCTTGTTGCCGAGCAGACTGGCCACGATAAAGAGGTGAAGTAGTGCATTTTTGCTGGCGTTTCCATCAGTGCATCAGAGCGCAGCGGTTTAGGTGATGCGCCTGTGCACAAACCCGAGTGTGCAGTGTAACTCCATGCACAGACACGCTCAGTCTGAGCTGTACAAAGCTCAGCGCCTGGCTCGTTCTTCTGCCTCGACCCTCTCTTAAACTGTGTGCCGTCCCTTGCGCCTCTCTCAGGTCACAGAGATCTCTATGGGAGAGTTTCTCATGCATTCCTCTGTGGTCTGGCTCAACCCTCATCCGTCGCTGGGCCGCATGAGAAAAGACCCCGAAATGACCGTGTTCGGTGAGTCGGTCCTTTTTATTTTTCACCGTTTCCCTTAATTGTCACTTGTGGATGTTTGCAGTAGAGAAAGTGAATCGATATGAACCAACTGTATTGGGTTTGCTGCACAGAATAGTGCAGGAACAGAATTTTAATATCCATAGCTGTAACGCTGATATATGCTTTAAGGCTTCAAGCTGGCATTTAAAATGCTTCTGTGGTTGCGCTGCCTCAGTCGGCTTTCCCCGAGAGGCGTTCGCAGTCAAATCCAAGACGCTCATGTGTTCTCTCGCGCTCTCTCACCAGTGTTCAAGAAAGCAGTGATATTGGTCTGCAGGGAAAACAACAAGCTGAAGAAAAAAATGGTATGTTTGTGTCACGTCCCCGTGCCACAGCGAGTGCGTTTGGTGTGAAACCTTACATTTCCTCTCTTACCCCATTTTGCTTTTTTCTCGTAATGCCAGGCCAACCCTCGTTCGGCGCTCTCTCACGGAGATTCGGACCCCTTCAAGTTCCGCTGGCTCATCCCGCTCTCGGCGCTGCAGGTCAGGTTGGGAAATACTGCAGGTAAGAGGCCGACACGCTGCCACATTATCCCCAACAAATCACTCACAAAGTACATCCACTAAATCTCTCCTTTCATATTTCCCTCAGCCCAGTCGCATTACCCGCACGCCCACACGTCTTCTGGCGTTTCTGTTCAGCTTCCGCCCCTCTTATCTCCCTCTGAAACCATAAACCATACACGCACCGCGTGATTAAAGGCCTCTCATTTATTTCCCGGCTCTCCTAGGAACAGGTACGCAGAGCAGCTGTATCTGGGAGCTGATTCACTCCAGGTCTGAAGTGGAGGGGAGGCCAGAGACCGTCTTCCAGCTGTGCAGCAGGTCAGAGATTCAACGTTTAGGTGAAATCACTGAATTGAGATTTCTAAAAACGCACCGATTTTAAGTTAATGCTGCACTGGGAGCATCGTGACACGGTGTGAAAACGAAGTCAGACAGCAAAAAAAATGCGAGCAGTAAAATATTTTGACAGGTCGTCAACACAAAGGAAAACTCTGCAGACTAGTTTAGTCGATACAAACTGTCATGATGTTTGCAATGCACAGTCTGTAGATTTGAATGTCGGCCTCTCGTCCACAGATGTTTGGATAACCTCTGGTTTTTAGGAGCCGTCACATATTTCACACGACTGTCACATTAATAATGACCCAGAATTCTTAAAGAATATAGTCTATCCACTGGAAATGGTTAATTAAGTTTTCTATTAATAGAACATTTTATCCATAATATTAGATAATCAAATAAAGCCCCTAAAAAGACCCATTAGGCCGTTTGCTTTCCTCCCGTCTGCTGTTATTCTAGCATTTCATACAAACAGTCTACATGGGAACTGTAGCGAGAGAGCCTGTGACTAAATCGCTGATTCTCATAACATACTATGAAATCGGGATCGGTCCTAATAAATTACATCAGCAATTTCGCCGGGGACACAACGAACCCTTCGCAGATCTTCTTAATCTATATTTAGCTTGTGAAATCAAACTGAGCATGCCCCGTTCTCACGTTACTGCGACACCTCTGGTGTCTTCTCCACAGTGTGCCTGAGAGCAAGGTCAGCATCATCAAGGTGATCCGCTCCATCCTCAGGGAGAACGTGAGGAGGAACGTGAAGGGCGAGGGCACGCTGGAGAGGAGCTGTAAGGAGCACCTGGCTCCTCTGAGGAGCACCCTGCCTTCCTCCGCCAGGCTCGGTGGGTTTCTGAAGCGTTCTTATGGAGATCTTTCATCCAGTTTAGCTTGTGTGAAACACTCCACACTCATTTTTAGTACCAGCCACTTCTTCCTGGGAAGGTTTCCTGTAAAAACATCTCTATAAAAATAATTCTTGTCGACTGGAATTTGAAGTTATTTGGCCGCCTAACGCTCGGCTGGCACTCGGCTGCTTATGCTGCAAGTGTTCAGCTCAGATAACAGTGGAATTTCCATCTCCACCTTTGTTTCTAGGTTCCTCCAGAGCTTCCTGGTTGTTCAAGCAGCCGCCTGCAGAGCTCTCTACCCAGGGCGAGACTCCGAAGCTCGGGCCAGACTCTGACGAGGGAAGCCTGAGCAGTGGAACCTACAGTTTGTCCGGGGCTCCTCCGGCCCGCGTGTCCTCCGACTCGCCCATCTCTCCAGTCCAGCAGAACTGGTCTCAGACGCACGGCTCCAACTCTCAACCCCGCTCCACCTCTGTGAAAGAGTCTGACATTTTGAGCGACGAGGACGACGACGGCTTTAGCGAGGGGGGGACGAGGAGGGACAGCGGAGACAGCGGCTCCCCGACTAGTGCAATTGAAGCTCAGTTCCTCCAACTTAAACTGTCGGAGGATTCTGCGTCAGAAGGTGCGCCGGCCCCCCGCGTTCAGCCCGAGGGCGTTGGCGACACCCCGGAGATGCAACCCAAACTAGTGCGAGGCCACTTCACCGCCGTTAAGAGGAAACCGTGCAGTTTCAGGAGGAGCCCGGGAGCCCTGTTGAAGATGAAGGAGCAGAGCAGGTCACTGGACGGCCAGACGGATGCAGCGCTGCCGTGTGGAGCCGTGGACCTCAACACGTTGCTGGAGAGAGAGTTCAGCGTCCAGAGTCTGACCTCGGTAGTGAACGAAGACTGTTTCTATGACCCAGCTGAGAGCGGAGCCACCGGCGCCTCGTCTCAGGTGTCAGCGTAGACGGGGCAGACGTATGCAGTACCTGGGCTACGTTAGTGGCGATGACTGCGAAGCTGTGCATGAACTTCAATACCTTACAGATTTAAGTCTCGCACTCGCCCACACAAGGTTAGATGCAAACAATGTGTTCAGCTCGTCGGCTGGGACTGCGGCTTTCTTCCCCTTGAGAGGCAAAGCGCAGTGATTTCTGTCCCAGTGATAACGACTACAATGAATCTGCCAAGCACTGATGTGTGTCTGCATCGTCCTCAGCTCTCCGAGCTCTGCCTCCTCCCCACAAACCATCAGTGCGACGTGCTCCATTCACGTTTGCCCCGCAGCTGCTGCTGATTGGCAGTTTTTATTCGGTTCTTGACCTTTTTCACGAAGAATGTCCTCGTCTGTCACTCCCAAACGTTGAGAGGCGGTGAAATCCACAGGACACCGAGTTGAGTTTCTCAGGCAGACACTGGCGATTCGGCAAAGCTTGCCAGGCAACAGGCTTTTGTATCGATTCTGTGAAACCAAAAGAAAACGATTAATACACCGAACGCTGTGTAACAAATATGAAAGGAGGCACTGAAGAAGAAAAAGGTGACACAGACGCACCCAAAGAGCTGCAATGGTGAAGTGAGACTTCCTGAGAACAGGAGGCATCGGCTCAGGAAGGAGGCCGACTACAACTACGCCTTTATTTGCTGTATTTTGTGCACTAAGAGTACACTGTTTGCCTACATATTTGAAATATCTGTACAGGTTGTATTGTTATTACTGCTGTTTTTAATTTATTTCTGGGTTTCATTCTGTTTATTTTAACCTCTTTGGGTTAAGGCTTGAACTCGAGGCTACAGATTCGGTCGACTCTTAAATGAGAGAGAGCAGTTTGAGAGTTAATCACTTCATTTTTAAATGCAGCTACTGGATTTGGTTGTGTTTCGCTCAAGATTGTAATTTCATGCATTGGGATGTACGTGTTTTTACTCAGATTTAAACTGCAATAATGTTTAAAACCCGATGATTTTAATGTTTGTATGTATCCTGTATATATAATCTTTTCTATCTTTGATACGTTTATGTATACTCATACATACTTGACACTGTACAGAAACGAAACAGGATCTTGCAGTAACACAGTTGATATTTTTGTAAAGAGCGTTTGCCGTTACATTAAGTACATGTTTGTACTAAAAAAAGAAAAAAGGCAAACCACTACCTGCTTTACTACGGAGCC